GGTCGTGTCGCCCCGCCTGTGGCCTGTCTAAATGCCATTTGGTGTTGTCTTTGGTCCAGCGCGACGCCAGCCACCATCTTTCGCCGGGCTCTCTTCGCATCCAAGGCGACGTCGAGTCTTGTCCTGCATTCTTCAATTCGCCACTCGAGACACATCCGCAGCATGGCGTCGTCCAACAACCCGCTCCTCGCCGACTGGTCGTCGCAGCCGTTCGAGCTGCCGCCGTTCGAGCTCATTGAGGCGAGCCACTTTAAGCCCGCGATCGAGGCGGCGCAGGCCGCGCAGCTCGAGGAGCTCCGCCAGATCGCCGAGAACCCAGACGAGGCCACATTTGCCAACACGATCGTAATGTTCGACCGCAGCGGCGCGCTCTACGAAAAGGTGCTGGGCGTCTTCTACAACCTCACGTCGTCATGCTCGCCGCCCGAGCTCCAGGCCGTCGAGATGGAGCTCGCGGGTCCCCTCGCCGGCTACCAGTCCAAGGTCACGACGTTTCCGGGCCTCTTTGAGCGCATCGACGCGGTCTACAACGCCCGCGACGCGTTTGCTGGCGAAGACCTCCGCCTCATCGAGCGCATTCACTTGGACTTTGTCCGGTCCGGCGCTCGCTTTGACAAGGAAACGCAGGCGCGCTACAATGACATCATGCAGCAGTTGGCCGAGCTCACGACCAAGTTTAGCCAGAACGTCATGACCGACGAGTCGGAAGTCACGATCGAGCTCTCGGAGGCCGAAATGGACGGCTGTCCCGACGACATCATTGCGTCCGCCAAGCAAAACGCACTCGACCGCAACGCTGCCGACGGTGTCTACATTGTCACGCTCAGCCGCTCGATGGTCGAGCCGTTCCTGACGTACGCCAAGGACCGTGTCGTGCGCGAAAAGGTCTTCCGCGCGTTCACGTCGCGCGGTGAGCTCTCGCCCGAGCGCGACAACAACGCGCTGGCGATCGAAATCCTCAAGCTCCGCATCGAGCAGGCGCAGGCCCACGGCTACAAGACGTTTGCCGACTACCAGACAAGCGACACGATGGCCAAGACGCCGGAAGCCGTCAGCGAACTCCTCAACCGCGTCTGGGCCCCGGCCAAGGTCGCGGCCAACCGCGAGCGTGAGGCTCTCGAAGAGTACGCGGCCTCGATCGGCGACGAAGCCCACGTTGAAGCGTCAGACTGGCGCTACTACTCGGAGAAGGTCCGCCAGCTCCGGTACGACATTGACGAGTCCATGGTCAAGCCGTACTTTAGCCTCGACCGCATGGTCGAAGCCGTCTTTGACGTGGCGTTCCACCTCTTTGGCCTGCGTTTTATCTTGCGTGAAGACATCAAGGCGTACCACCCGGACGTCAAGGTCTACGAGGTGCGCGAGACGACGGCCGACGACGAAGACAAGCTCGTGGCGATCTTCCTGCACGACAACTTTTGCCGCCCGTTCAAGGCTGGCGGTGCGTGGATGAGCGAGTTCCGTACGCAGAGCCGCAACGTCGACGACGAAGGCACCAACGTCATTCCCGTCATCATCAACAACAACAACTTTGTCAAGGGCGCCGAGGGCGAGCCGACCTTGCTCTCGTTCGACGACTGCATCACGCTCTTCCACGAGTTTGGCCACGGCTGCCACGGCATGCTTTCAGACGTCAAGTACAACCGCCTTGCCGGCACGTCTGTCCTCTCGGACTTTGTCGAGCTCCCGTCCCAGCTCATGGAGCACTGGGTCTCGGAGCCCGAGGTGCTCAAGAAGCACGCCCGCCACTACGAGACGGACGAGCCGATCCCGCAGAGCCTTCTCGACAAGCTCATTGCCGCTGCCAAGTTTGACCAGGGCTTTGGCACCGTCGAGTACATGGCATGTGCGCTCATGGACCAGAAGCTCCACCAGCTCGACTCGGTCGATGGCCTCGATATGCTTGCGTTCGAGAAGGCGGAGCTCGCCAACCTCGAGATGCCGACGGGGATCGTCATGCGCCACCGCATCCCGCACTTCACCCACCTCTTTGCGAGCTCGGGCTACGCAGCTCTGTATTATGTGTACCTCTGGGCCGAGGTCCTTGACGCGGATGCCTTTGACGCGTTCTTGGAGGCCGGCGACATCTTTGACGTCGCGACGGCCAAGCGCGTGCGCGCGTTTATCTACTCGTCGGGCAACTCGCAGCACCCGATGGACGCCTACCGGGCGTTCCGCGGCCGCGACCCGGTGATCGAACCCATGCTCAAGAAGAAGGGCCTTGTCTAACTATCCCTTTCACGCTTCGTTTGTTATATAATTTTGTTGCTTTTCTCGCGTTCGTTCTGTCGAGTGAAGGGTCCTTTCCTGCAACGGCAAACTCAACAAGGGGTAGGGTCCACGGCCGTTTCCTATCAGTTTGTATCGTGTTCCCGTACCATCGTACGTCATGGCAGTTGTGCGCCGCCCGACCGTTTTGGGTCCGCACCATGTCATGCGTCGTGTCCCGAATCGGTGGCCAATCGGTCGGCGCAACCGCCGGCGCCATTTTGATGCACCGGTCGCGCGCCGTTGGCGACGGCCGTGGGCCGACCGAGCGCAGTGCCACATTTGCGCGGCAGCATGGACGACAATAGCTTTGTCAAGTCGTTTTTTGTCGAAGACATTGTGCGGAGGTCGTCGCCGCTCGAGCTCGCGACGCCGCGGTCCATGACCGACTTCAACTTTCAATCGGAGGACTCGGACTTCTTCGACGAGTACCCGCTGCTGGACGACGACATCAAGACCGAGACGCACGACCTGTTCGAGCCGCTCGACCCGCTCCTCTCGACGCCCGTGCTGCAGAAAGCCGACCTCGCACTCTTCTCGTTCCCGTCGAGCCCCGCGTTTGAAGTCCGCGGACCCCAACCCGCCTACTACCACAACCACTACAACAGCATGATCCACACGCTTCCACAAAACTACCTCAGTAGTCACTTGTCCAGCAGCAGCCATCCTCTGCCGCCACCACCTCATCATCAGGCTACAACGCATAGCTCGGTGCAGCAGCCGGCCATCTACCCGAGCGCGATGATGCCGCCACTGTACAAACCACCGCCGCCCGTCTTGCCCATCATGCGCTCGTACTCGTACCCGATGAAGCCCGCACCGGTGCCGATCACAACGACCAAGATTCCCGTCCAGCGGTCGGCGACTGTCCCAACGACCGCAAAGGAACTCGATGACGCAACGTCGTCATCTTCGTTCAAATCCAAAGGCAAGCGCTGTACGATCGCAGGATGCACGCGCCGTGCGCAGTCCAACAACCGCTGCAAGGCCCACGGAGGTAGGTCCGCTACCATGCTCTTTCGGGGTTGACAGGCGGAGGCATGTCGTAGGTGGAGCGCGGTGCCAGTTTCAGGGATGCCCAAAGAGCTCGCAAGGCGGCGGCTACTGCCGGGCGCACGGCGGTGGGAAAAAGTGCGAGTTCGAAGGCTGCACCAAAGGGCAGCAGCGCAAGGGCTTTTGCTACGCCCACGGCGGCATCCGCAAGTGCAAGCAGGCCCACTGCGACAAGAAGGACCGCGGGAACGGGTACTGCATTGCGCACGGCGGCGGGAAGCGCTGCTCGGTCGACGACTGCGTCAACGCCGTCCGGAAAGGCCGGTTTTGCCGCGTCCACATGCCCGACGACGGCTAAGCAAAAAGAGGTTCCTACTGCGGGATTGCCGACCACATCTACTCTTGTTGAGATCGACTTATTGCACCTTCTTGAGCGGGTCGTGGCGGGCAAAGACCGAGAGGCAGGCCGAGAGCAGCGTGCGGAGGACGACGGCGACGCCGCAGAGCACGGCGCCGTACACCGCATACACGTCCAAGAGGTACGTCTTGAGCAGAGGCTGCGTCTCGCGCGCAGGGATCCAGCCCGCTGTGCCCCGGGCCGCGACAGCCTCGATGGCGTTGACTGCGGCATCGACACCGCCACCTGTCGTCAAGAGCCCACCGACACGCTCGGCCGCCAATGCAAACCTAGCCACGAATCGAGCTTGTTGCCAATTCTTCGACTCGTTACCGGTCGTGCGAGAGGAGGAGGTCGCTCGCAAAGTGGAGGCTTGCGGCCGTCACTTTTGTCGCTTCGATCGCGACGCCGGCGCCCGCCCGCACGATGCGGTCCGTAAACTCGGCCTAGTAGCGACAATATTGTCATTTGACGCCAGAGCGAATGGTTGTGGGTAGTAGTAATACGTGTTCGGCCGAGAACGGGATCGAGAGGATCGGTGTGCCGGCGAGCAGCGCCGACTGGACCGCTGAGAAGCCACCGGACGTGACGAGGAACCGGACGTTGGTCGTGTTGGGCACGTGGAGCGAGTGCGATACGCTGAAGAAGACGTCCGAGGACGCGAGGAGGTCCCGTGTGACCTCGTCGTGCAGGAAGCTCTTGTGCTAGCCATGTTGTCCGTACGTCTTTGACAGAGTATCAACATTGCTTGTACCATCTCGGGCGACAACTTCCAAACCGTCCGGCACTCGACCTCGCGTAGAGCCGTCATCTAGAACAGCTCCGATGCTCGACAAGAGGACGATGAAGAAGAGCGACGTACAAGCAGCGACACCATATCAGTGGAGAGGACCACGTCGGCGCCAAAGTCGACCAGCACGACGCACCCGTCGCGGTCCCGGCGCAGAAACGAGTCGAGTTCGGGTGATGGCGATGGCGGCGACAAGCTCGTGAGCGCGCCGACCTACGTTCTATCACACTCTGTTCAGCTTGTCGGAAGCGTACGAGGCGGTGGAGCGGCGAGAGCGGGCGGGGGTGTTCGAGGCCAAAGACCGTGTTGGTCAGAACGAGTCGCTCGCCGTAACTTGGCGTCGACGGCAGTGCAAACTCGGACCGGGCCTTGGCGAGCGACGCAGCGACCGCGGCGTTGCCAAGTCGAAACCGCAGCCGATGCAGCCCGTTCGCACAGCGCTGCCACACCGTTTGGGTCTGCGTCCGACATGAGAGGAGGGAGCGAGGTCGAGACGTACGGCCATGGGGTACTGCGAGAATGGCGCGGGCACATACGAGGGCGGGTCGTCAATGTCCAGCAGCAGGAACGGGTTGTGAATGATAAAGGGAAGCGAGAGGTTGTTGGCCACGTCCATCGCTGCAAACGCGTACCGGTCGGCCACCTACATGCAGATGCAGTCTCCTCTGGAGGCTCGGCCATGCAGGTAGACGTACGACGATCGTAGGCGCGTCTTCGCCATAGTCGGCGCGAAGCGGATGGTACATGGGTTTGTAGAACGACGCATAGTACTGCAAGGAGGCGAGGTAGCTCGAGTAGATGCCCACGTTGCCGACCTAGATGGCGCAAGGATCACGACAAGCGGACGGCGACAACGACGACGTACGGCAGACTTGAGCGTGAGCGCGTGCGGGATCGGCGATGGCATCGTGCCAAGCGAGATGAACTCGAGGCCGGGGAGGTCGCTGACCCAATTCCGGCACATCTGTACAGACCACGATCGTACCGCAAGCGTCATGCACGTGAGCGTACCTCGGGCAGCGCAAAGCTCACGCGATGGCCTCGGCGAAGCAGCTCCTCGATTAGATGCTTCATCGGCAGCACGTGCTCGAGCACGGGAATGCTCACAAAGGACACGTAACTCGGCGATGCAGCGGCCTCGGCCGTCGGCAAGCCCAGCCACGCGACGTGCTCGCTGAGAAGGTAGACCATCATGAAGGCGCAGAGCAGGAGGCAGAGCGGCAGCTTGAGGTGGCGCGCGAGGGCGGCGACGTGCTTGGTCGCGCAGGCCATGATGGCCTCGGCGGGCTCGGCGCCCATGCATGGCGTCGTCCACGCCATCGCCGACCGCGGCTTGACGCGGACCTGCGTCACCCCGTTCCGGTAGAGTCGGCCTCCGCCCGCTCTACTCGTCGTCTCCATTGGGATTCTGGGATGCAGTTACGAGTATTTTAATTCCATTCTCAATTCGGCATACAAAACGTAGCGTCATCGCGTGCATTTTTATTCGTACCAAGGTTGTGGTGCATAATCCGTGGCCGCCAAACGCCACCGACAAGCCGCGATGCGACGCCGCCGGACGCGCGCCATGCTAATGGCTCATCTACCACGGTACTCCATGCAGGTAGACATGGGCTGCATGCGACTTGCGGCGAGACCCTCATGTGACGTCCGCGCGACGAAGAAGAGACAGCGCGAACCGCGCCTCCTCCGCCGGCCATGGCCGAACTCTCACCCTTCTTGGATCATGCTGCATATACATAGCAGAGACGACGAGGGTCTCTTCATAAATAGGTGGCTATAGCGCCGAATGGTGGCTGCGGAGCGACTCGGTCGGGCTTGGCATGACGTCGACGATGCTCTCGAGCTCGCTCTCTTGCGTGTTGAGGCGACGGAGGAACCGCCGCAGCGTCTTGCTCGAGCCAGGCACCGGTAGCGGCGGTGGCGGCGTCGTCGGCAGCGCGCTGCTTGAAGGCCCCTCTTGCTTGAGCTGGAGCTGGCGCACGTGTGGCAAGAGGCGCTCGAGGCTCTGGCGGAACCCGATCGACTCGTTGAAGTGGTGGATGGCCGTCCGCGAGAGCGAGTAGACGAGCGCATTGTCGAGCGCCTGGAGCGAGAGCATGATCGGGACGATGGGCTTGTTGCGGTTCTCGGCAAAGGCGAGCGTGTCCCGCAGCGCCTCACTACGCCACCCATCAGGATCCCGCTGCTTCAAGACATGGGGCCTCTCGTACCTCTTGGTCGAGAGGTGCGAGAGCACGACGATGACGGCGAGGCAGCGCGGGTCCAAGATCGCGTCCTTCATGACCACTTGGCGCTGGGGACACGGGCCGTCGATCTTGCAGTCGACGCCGGCGGTCGCAAGCTCGGCCTTGAGCGTACTCGCAAACGGCTTGTGGCAGTCGCCGTGCACGAGCAAGACGTAGGTGGTGGTCCTCGGCGCGACGCCCGAGTGCTGCGAGACCGCGCAGCTCGAGTGACCGCTCGCATTCGACTGCCGCAGGACGTCGATCGTCGGCTCGACGCGCCGCTCTTCAATCTCGTCGCGGAGACCGTCGAGAAGCAACCCGAGCTGCACCTCGTACCTACACACGCCATGAGATGCCGGTGACAGAGCGAGATCGCAGCGTACTTGGCCTCGTTGTAGTCGAAGCGCACGGCGTTGCCGCTGCGAAACTTGGCCGTAATCGCCGGTCGAAAGTCCACGAGCTGGCGCGTCCAGAGGTACACTTCGAGCTCGTCCCCAATGACGACGCGGCCACAGGTGATGCCAACGACTTGAGTAGTTCTGAGACATGCGACTCACGAGATATAGTGTACCTGGAATGTTGTGCTGCTTGGCGAAGGCGAGCTCCTTCATGCACCACTGCGACGCGGGGTAGTCTTCGCTAAGGATCGCGAGGACGACCGAGGCGCCAACGATACCGCGCGCGATCTCTTCACGCCACTCGGAGCCGCCGCTGATGCCCGTCGGGTTCATCTGGTCGATCCACGTTGTAATAAACTGCGCTTCGAGCGAGCTGCGAATCTTGTTGGCAAAACTCGCGTGCGAATGGCAGTAGCTGATCATGACGTCGCGTTGGCCCGCGGCTACAACAGTAAAGTTGAAATCTTGATAGTCGATACATCGATACACACCTTTTTTGATTTCGTACTGGATCGCGGTCGACGACGCGCAGTCGAGCGCGCGTATGCCGGCGTTGTCGATAGCAATCACATCGAGCCCCATCTGGACAAGGATACGTGCGGTCTTGACGTTGCCCCGCTTGAGCGCCAAGTGCAGCGCAGTTTCGCCCTGAACAAAATAGGTATCAATGTATCAACTACAATCGCGATGTACCGTTGTGCTCATTTTGGCATGGATCTTGGCGCCATATGCACGCAAGAGATACAAAATCCGACCCCGCGGCGTGTGTTCGAGATGCTGCTGCCGAGGCGAGCCCTCGAACGCCTTGTCCATCGGCTGGTTCTTGACCGTCTCGTAATGCCCGAGGAGATGGACGAGCGACCGCCCGTAAATGTCCACCTACATGTTTCAGTATCAATCTATCAGTTTGAAATATCGACAAAAATGCTACCATGTTGGGGTCGGCTTCGGCCAGCAAGAGGGCCTCGACTACATCGTAGTGGTTGTAGATTGCGGCCCACGCGAGGGGCGTCATGCCCAGCGTGTCGCTCGGATCTTCCTTGCAGTGAGCCAAGAGCAGCTTGACGACGCGGAGCTGGCCACGCATCGCCGCCTAAGACCATCCATCGTATTCTTTCGAGAGATGCGCGTACCCAATGCAGTGGCGTGCGGTGAAAGCGCCCGCAAGAATTCTCGCCGAGGATATCCGGGTCGACGCCTCCGTCCAAGAAGTGGCCGACTGTGCGCCAGTCGCCGTTGGCCGCCGCGAGGTGCATTGGCGTCAGCGCAATGTCCCCGCCCCACTCGACAAGCGTGTTGGCGAGGCTGAAGTGCCCGTTGAGCACGATGACCTCGTACGCCGTGAGGTAAAACCTACGTAGTGCCGGTCTCGCCCACGACATTCGAGTAAGCTGTTCGCCCGTACCCGTTCCCAGGAATGTGCAGATGGTTGGCGCCGGCACGCATCAGCGCCCGCAGGCAGTTGGGACATTCAGCGTAGTAGAGTGGTGGCGTCTTGTACTTGCGCTACGCTCGATATATATGAGACATGCGAATCCATAGCGATGAACGGACTTGGTTGGAGACCGCAACGAGGTTTGGGTCAGCGCCGTACTTGACGAGCGTCTCGACAATCGCAGCATCCGCGTGGATCAGGGCCACGTGCAAGGGCGCTAAGAGCACCTGCGACCATCGCCGTTGAGTCGTGTCGTCGTGTTGGGATAAAGAGGTTAGGGTATATGTTACCTGTGCCCACGGCTGGCTGGGTCCGTACCGAGCATTCGTCGATGTCGCACGGGCAAAGTTCGTGCTCCGCAGGAAGATGAGCACGTTGAAGATCTTGGCGTAAATGTGCGAGAGGCGGAAGCTCAGGGTCTGGATCTTCTCGAGCGCGTTCGGGTCAAAGCCCCGCTCCAGAAGGAGCTGGACGACGGGCAGCCGGCCGTTGACGACCGCAACGTGCAGGGGGTTGCGCACCGACTTGGCCACTTGACCAAAGCAGCGCAGCCCGTTCGAGTACCTATATACCACAAGGTGCCATCCAGACTCAAGTAGACAACAGAATGGACCCACCACTTGATGTGGAAGCACGGGCCGTCGAGGGCGACAGCTTCGTCGAGAAGCAGAAGTAGGTCGGGCACATGGCCATTCTTGGCGGCTTCGTACAGGCCTTCCTTGACCTACCGAGTGACGTCCGTTCAGCCATTGACGCCAGGTGAAAGCGTTGTACGCGCAGAATGGCTCGGGCGTGGGCACCCCAGTTGAGCCAGTCGGGGTTGGAGAAGGTAAAGAGAAGGGAGCTAGGGATGATGTTGCGCTGTCCGAGCGCCACGTCGCGCATGCGGTTGAAGAGCGTGATCTGGTACCAGCACGCGACGTACACGTACACGTCGAGGGCGGTCAGGAGAAGGGACCAGATGAGCCACGGCCACGGCGGCGGAATGTCCGTCGGGTCATCGCGCACGTGGAAGCAGCCCACGTACGCCGCATGTGCAATGCCTTCCGAGACGTGCAGGGTAATCTGGACGATCAAATACGGGATCTCGGCCATGACGAGGAGCTCGCAAAACGTGAGCAGCCACGTCTTCTTGCTCTCACGCGTGTACAGCTGGTACCTGCGTAGTAGGTAAGCTCTTGCAGCATAAGGACCCGTTCGGTACCTAGGGTTGTGGATCGCGGGGAGGCAGAGCAGAATGTTGGCCAAGCCCGTGTACACGGTAAGCGTGATGCCATCCAAGAACGCGTCGCAGGTCGCGCCGTTGTCGCCGTACTTCTTGCGCTTCATTTCCGGTCGGACGATGAAGATGGACGCGAGGATAAAGATATGGACAAGCGTGATGCGCACGGTCCACGAGATCATGCGCGAGCTCACAAACGTGTTGCCGTACTCGGCGAACTGCGGGATGCACGTCGCGACGCGCGAGACCATGGGCAGCACCAGCTGCGGCAGCGTGCGCTCGCACGCCTTCATGTGCTCCTGCAGCGTTCGGTCAAAGTGCTGGTCGTCTTCGGTGCGCGGCGTGTTTGACCAGCCGTCCTGCTGCGGCGACGGCAGCATGGGCATGCTCCCGCGCCGCTTCTCGCCGCCATGCTGCGGCGTCGTGACCGAGATGAAGGACGTGTGGCAGCCGGATGGCATCATGATGTGGGTCGTGAGCGGCGACGGCAGGTCCTCCTCAGGCTGCGTATCGTCCTGGGAGCTCATGCGCCGGGCCAAGGTCGGGCTGGCATGTGTCATGCTTCGACGGGACTGCGGCTTCAAGACCCAGCTGCCAGCTTTTAAAAATCTCGACGTTTGCTACAGTTTACGAGACAGCTTTAAATTCGTCGATTTAATAGGCCGTGGCTGTGTTACATGGGCGTGTCCCAGATACATTTTTCCATCGTTTTATTCGTGCGCTCATTGGCTGCGGCGGAGTCATTTTCAGAAACTGTGATGTCGATTGGTGCATTTTCAGCGAATGAGCTGGCATCGATCAGGTTATCCTCGTCACCAAGACCTCGTCTGGCACGGACCGAGCGCAGAGCAGCGATGGCTGCATGGTGCTCATGCACCGGTACCAGCACGACCGTCGAGAAAGCCATTCCGGAGAAAGGATGATAGGCTGCGTGCATGGACGAGGATGTGTCGGGTGGGTGGCGGGAACAGGTACCCGAATTTCTAGAAGGCGTCATCGCAACCGGTGCAGACAGGCGGGTGCTGTGCACGAAGCTACTCGGTCGTGCCACCACGCGTCGCCGCCAAGCGTACGGTAGATACAGCGACACAATTATCGTTTGCAAAGGTTATACAAAAGTGCAATCTCGGCTGCATACGCCTCGTCATCAACGACCGGCGTCTCGAGGATCATCGGAACATCGTTGAAGCGCGGATCGTTCATAAGCAGCTCAAAGGCGCCGAGTCCAATGTGGCCCTTGCCAATGGCTTCGTGGCGGTCGGCGTGGCAGCCAAGCACGCCTTTCGAGTCGTTGAGGTGCAGCGCCTTGAGGTACTGCAAGCCGACCGTCTCGTCGAACGTCGTCATTGTCGCCTCGTACCTACACGTAGTGTATGTCCAGGACACCAGGACGAGAATGATTGATGCGTATACGCGTCTTTGATGTCCCAACCCGCGGCAAAGGCGTGGCACGTGTCCAAGCACACGCCAATGCGGTCGGCGTGCTGCGCTGGAATACGGTCGAGGATGCCGCGCAGCTCGGAAAAGTGGCCACCAATCGTCGAGCTACACCACATACTCCTCTAAGAACGGAGTGCAACGCAGTCGCGACGCACCCTTGGCAGCTCATGTTTTCAACCAAGATGGTCACGCGAGACGTCGCCTGCAAGACGCCCGCAATACTCTCGGCGATCCGGTCCAAGCACGCGTCGATCGAGATGGCGCCGCGCGTCGAGCCCGGATGGAAGTTGTAGAGCGAGAGACCGAGTTGCTCACAGCGCAAGACTTCATCGAGGAGCCCTACGCCCAGAAGCGCCATCACATTTTGGCCGCGGCGCTGAGAACGCACCCGCGCGGCTCTTTGCGAGCGTCGCGTCGTCGGGCGATCCGCAGTTGAGGAGGTAGCTTCCGTGTGGCACGACATCGCCCGGAGCGTAGCCAAAGTCGCGCATCGCTTGTTTAAACGCGTCAATCGTTGCCGGCTCCAGTGGTTTGCATGCCCACGTGCGCTGGGACCGCGTGAAGAGTGCGAATGCCCGGGCACCGATCTTTGCTGCGTTAAAGACCGCGTTCTCCAAGCCACCTGCGCTAGAAACGTGCGCGCCAAGAAGCTTGTTCGTGTGCATTGTTGCTTCTCGACGAGCCTGGAGCGTTGCGAGGCTCTGCGCGCGGTCGCTGGCAACCGCCGCTTCCTTGGCCAGGCGCTTGGCAGCGACCTTGGACTCCTTGGGCGGGATAGCCGAGCGCGTCACCGTATTTGCCTTCTTGGGCACTGATGTATCTGCCATTGCCATGCTTGGCCCGATGGATGGCGCCTTGCGGGCCAAGACGCACAAGCTTCGCCGCATTCTCGATGTGGCAGGTTGCACTTATTTTAACCGAGTATTACTCAGTACGCTAAACATAGGTTTAATTGGATCGCGTTTCGATGCGTCTGCACAACGCGTGCTCGTGGATCGGGCTCATGCCGCGTTCGCTTCACGCCTTCCACGTCGATATCTGCATATACAATAGACGGTCATGCGGCAGCGCGCTACGGACCAGCGCACTTGTCCACTCGGCAAACGCTTTGCGCGCGTCGCCTCGAGGTCGTTTAAACTCGATTTAACGTCCCGAACCGTTTCGAATCCAAAGTGGATACTTTGATACGATTGGCTAAAATGCATGGCATTTCTCGCATCAATGGGCCATTGCGTATGGAGATTGGCTAAAAGTCGCTGTATTTCCACCAATGCACGGTGACTGCTGTTCGGGGTTGGGGGACGTGTCGCCGCCAGTGGTTGGCGTCGAGGCCGGGCTTTTAGTCGGTAATAATATTTGGTCCTGCGATGCAACGCTTCGTGCAGACGCTCTCCGCCCGGTCCTTCGCGACGAAGACGAGCAAGCTCCCGAAGCGCCTGGTCAAGCCGGCCAACGCCAAGGAGCCGCACCGCGCGCGTGGTCCGTCCAAGTACGTCAACAAGCTGCTGCCGATCGTGGACGATGGCAAGACGTACCGCCTTGTGTGCGCGCCGGTCCTGGAGCGCCTGCCCGTGATCCTGCCCGACTTGGAGCAATGGGAAGAAGACTACATGCGCATGAAGCACAAGATTGAGCTCAAGACGGCGCAGGTACCATTGCGCGCAATATGGCTAGCGACATGGGCTCATGCGATTTGCGATTGCGTAGCGCCTGCCCAAGGACTTTTGGTTTGCCGAGCCGGGCTCCGTCGAGGTCGAGCCCGAGGAGGCGCCGTTCCTTGAGGAGTGGAACGAAGACGAACTCATTGGCGACGGCTTCCAGATTGCCAAGCGCGAGACGGAGGACGACGCAGCCAACAACCGCCACTCGCTCAACCGCGCGTTGAAGCAGCGTGTGTTCTTGATCGTGCAGGACAAGACCTCTGGCAAGTGGTTCTTCCCCACGACCGAAAAGGACGACGCCGAGACGATGAAGGACGCTGCGTTCCGCGAACTCTCGACCGTTGTTGGCGCCTCGTTGGAAGCGTACCCTGTCGGCAACGCGCCGATGGGCTACCTGAAGGTCATGCACGAAGACGACCCGACCTTTGACGGCAAGGTGCACGGCACCAAGGTCTTCTTCTACAAGTCGCAGCTCGCGGGTGGCGACGTCGAGCTCAACACAGAAAAGGCCGGCGACTACCTGTGGGTCACACAGGCCGAGCTGGCAGAGTATTTGGACGCCGACGTTGCGGACTACGTCACCAAGATGGTGCCCCCGTAAGCCGTAGACGTAGTTCAAAAGTTGCCAGCAAGACCCCGACACCTTTGTTAATAGAACCCTTAGATTTTGACTGCAGTGACGCGAGCACTGCGATCCATGCTTCCTGAAGCTTCTCTAGACTAGTCCGTCGCCAACAATGCGAGCGCCCTCGACACCTCGCTAGCACTTGCTGCCTCGTCGTCGCCGAGTCCAGTGACCTGCATGGCGCTGTCATCGAGAGCATGCAGGCCCTTCCGTGGTGCTGTCAGTATTGCAGTTGGGCTGGTGTTGACGCTGGAGTGGCGTTGTCGGTGGTGGCCGCCTGGTCTGGTTGGGGTTGCACCTGGGAGATTCCTCGGTTGTTTTCGCAAGGTTGCTGGACAATGCATTGGATTGGCCAGCTAAGATTTTATGTTTAGCTGGCGAATCAAAACCGCGAATTCCATTATGTAGGGCTCCAATCGGAGGCGGCGAATCTTGCGATGGACATGCATTTGCATTTTCGACCGACAACGAAGACGAGACCGATATGACTGGCGTGGACTTGATCGTCGTGGGCCGACACGTGGTCCCGGTGGTGCCCGAAGGCGTCGTCCTTGAGAACCACGCGCTCGTCATCGCGAGCGGCGTCATCGTCGACATCCTTCCGGCGGACGACGCGCTGGCCAAGTACGCGGCGAAGGAGGTCGTGCGCCTCGACGAGCACATTTTGATGCCTGGCATGGTCAACGCGCACACGCACGCGTCCATGACGCTTCTTCGCGGCCTCGTACGCTCGCCACGTCATCGCCTTCTCGTCTCTGACCGACTTGATAGGCCGATGACAAGCCGCTCTGCAACTGGTTGATGGAAGACATCTTTCCGGCCGAGGGCAAGTTTGTCAGCGACGAGTTTGTCCGCGACGGGTACCACCATGCGATGCATCATCCTTTCTCATGCTGCGTGCAGGACGCTCCACTCGGCCGCCGAGATGCTTCGGTCGGGCACGACGTGCGCCAACGAAATGTACTTCTTCCCGGATGCGGCCATTCAGACGTTCGAGACCGTTGGCATGCGTGCGCTCGTGGGGCAGATCGCGATGGAGTTTCCGACCGCGTACGGCTCGGGCCCGGACGACTACTTCACCAAGGCCCGCGCCATGTTTGCCAAGCACAAGGACTCGAAGCTTGTACTGCGACCACCAGCCATGAGAATCAAGAGGAAGAGACTCACGTGTCTTGTTGCTGCATGTAGGTCAAGCTCAGCCTCTGCCCGCACGCGCCGTACACGGTCTCGGACGCGACGTTCGCCAAGGTCAAGGCCCTCTCGGACGAGTCCAACGTGCGCGTGCACCTCCACTTGCACGAGACCGAGGGCGAGTGCTGCGACAGCGAGACCAAGACGCCGTCGATGCTGTGCCACCAGAGCCCGGAAAAGTGCCGTCCGCTCCAGGTAGACAGATCGCCGCGTACTTTGATGAACGCGATGGCTCATGTGAGGCTGTAGAACATGCAGCGCCTCGGCATTTTGAACGACAAGCTCATTGCAGCGCACATGACGCAGCTCACGGACGCCGAGATTGACCAAGTGGCCGCCGCGGGCACGAGCGTCGCGCACTGCCCGTCGTCCAACCTCAAGCTCGCGTCGGGTATCTGCCGCGTCTCGGACCTCCTTGCCAAGGGCGTCAACGTTGCGATTGGCACGGATGGTGCGGCGAGCAACAACACGCTCAACATGTTTGCCGAGATGAAGCTGGCGGCGATCCTCGCCAAGGCCGAATCCAAAGAGTGCACGAGGTACTTTACACCAGTTCTTCGACATACTAGTACTGGCGACTCACGGACGATGTGTGGTGTAGCGTGCCGGCAGCGACTGCACTGCGCATGGCGACGCTCAACGGCGCCAAGGCGGTCGGCATGGACCACATCATCGGGTCCCTCGAAGTCGGCAAGGTGCGGAACATGGCGTCAACCTCGGGCATGTGATGTTCATGATGATGGACATGTAGCACGCCGATATCGTTGCCGTCGCCGCCGACTCCATCGAGATGCTTCCGATGTACAACGCGATTAGCCACCTCGTCTACGTCGCGGGCCGTGAGCAGTACGTTCCTCGAAGCGAGGCGAAGGAAAGGGTGTTGATACGGCGCTGTGTGTAGCGTCTCGGATGTCTGGGTCGCGGGCCAGCGTTTGTTGAAGGACCGGACGCTCACGACCATCGACGAGGCGGTCGTCAAGAGCCACTGCAAGAAGTGGTACAGCGCCATCAGCTCGCACCACGCCGAGATGCAACAGACCCAGTAAGTGGACTTGTGTGTGGCGTCTTCATCCAAAGTGTCTTGTGCGTCGGGTACTGGAGCAATCGTGTGAAACCCGCTTGTTTGTTTCCTGCGTATGACGTGGCACAACCACACGTCTTTACCACGTTACAAAAATACACACGCAGACTTGCAGAGTCCAGCATGGATACGTTGATAGCTGGGCAAACGAGGGAAGGTATGCCGGTGCGGAATGGCTTTGCAGTGAATGTGCCACTGCAGGATGTGACGGAGGTACACTGTTCGATCCCCAAAGGTCCAACATACAGAAATCTGGCCCGCAGATTTTTATTGTTTTCCAGCCTTTTGTGAAAACGACTGCAGACGATAGCAATGCTCGAGAAGACGACGTCGCTAGCCGAGGCATGCTAATGAGCATAGTGGTGCCTTGCTAGGACGCAAGCAGCGGAACGGTTCTCCAGGCCCCCGTGTAACTAGTTAGCGTGCACGCTAGCGTCCTTATTCTTGACACAGAGCTTTTGGTTCCGCCATCATACGCGAAGAGACGAGGCTGCAGCAGTAGACTGCTCAGTGTTATGACTACTCATCGTCATGCGTCCGAGACTGCAATACGGAGAAACCTGACGACCACCGTCGTCGACCGACTCGCATACGTAGCAACGGCGTCAGGTCCCGATGGTCGCTACACAAGCCTCCGCGCAGTCCAGATCTCGAACGCCGCACTGCACGATGGGTACGTCTGCTATACATCCCGGCGCCACCGCGTCCCAAGCCTCCGTAATGACGCTGCCTTCAGTACTCGCCGAGGCCATCCTCGACCTACTACACCTCAAACTGCCCATAGAAAAAATGCTCATGTATGCTTGTTCTCAAATCGCACTCGACGACTAAGCGCTGTGGCGCAGGACCTTGGAGCTGTCGAGTGCGCCAAAGCCGTCTTGGTCCTTGACCTTCTCCTTCTTTTGCTTGCGCTTGGCCATGCCGCCCGAGCAGAGACAGAGCTTGAGGAGGACCCAGTCGCGGCCCGTCGCGACCACAAACGCGATCGACCCGAGGAGGCGCGTGACGTTGAAGAGCGCGATAAATAAAAACAGGCTCGGCAAAAAGACGTTGGCGCCGACAAAGTAGATGCACGTCATGATGAGCAGCGCGTTCGAAATGAGCCAAAAGAGCAGCGTGTACGACCGGAACGAGTCGAAGCGGCGCTTGACCTGGTCCGCGACGACTGCGTCATGGCGCGCAGCTGCCTCGGCGGCCTTGCGCTGCGCAACGAGGTCGCTGTAGCCGCCCGACCCGAGGCGCTGGCCGCCACCTTTCAGTGGGCCGTGGCCCGCACTGTCGCCGAGGCCCTTTGTGCCCCAACTCAGATCTTGAATGTTGCAGAATGCGTAGATCATGAGGATGTTGATGGTCGTCGGCAGCATCACGAGGTACTGGACAAAGGTAAAGACGACGTGGTGGAGCTCGAAATGGAAGGCGGCCGCGATGAAGTAGACGCCAAAGGTCGCGGCGAGGAGCACAATGTTGAAGGGCGACATGCCGTTGTGCGACGAGAGCGAGCAGACCGAGAAGAAGACGGCCGTGATGACCACGACCGCGTAAAAGACCGAGAGGAACGTGTAGAGCCACTGGACGTGCTTGGGCTTGTTGCCAAGGCCAAAGACGATCTGCACCATGATCAAGAACGCGTAGACGATGTTGAAGATGGACATGGCCATCGAGTGGTGGTCGTCGTACCACTCTTCCGAGTCCCAGAAGGGCAATTTCGACTTCTTGAGCGTCGTAAAGACCACGTAGTACACCGAGAGGTAGAAGAAGCCGCACATGAACCAGCCAAAGAAGAGCTGGACGAGCAGCTGAAAGTACTGGATCATAAGCCCGGCTTTCGTCAAGATCGAGTGGTTCGTGTGCGAGTAGAGCCGGCCCCACTGCACGATCGAGTAGAGCATCGCAAAGAACGAGCCGTTGAGCCAGCGACGGCGCTGCGCCATCAAATCCACGAGCGTCGACGGCACGTCCGTGCGAGCGACCGCGTCCTTGATGTACTTGAGCTTCCACGCGCCATTCGTGCGCGCGAGGAGCTCAAAGCACAAAATACGGTCTTCGGCGAGGTACATGTTGCCATAGAACGGCCCGAGCTCGGCCATGTCGGTCGTGAGGCTCTTAAAGTACGCTTGGAGCGGCGCGCCCTTGATGGCCGCAAACCGGTAGGCTGAGAACGCACCGGGCAAGACCGAGACAAAGCCAAAGCACGACTCGGTCGCCTTGTCGAGGAGGTTCGACACCTTGTACTCAAAGTGCTGCGTCGCGATGACAAAGTTCCAGAGGTTCGGGATCGGCCGGCTCACGGCAATCTCGCCGCAGACGCCGCCAATGTCGGCCTTCATCTCGAGCGTCGCGAGGAGCTTGTACAAGGCGGCCTTTGTCGGCAGTGTCCCGACATCGAGGAGGATGTTGTACTCGGGGTCGACTTGGTTGCAAAAGGCGTTGAAGAACCAGAGGTGCGAGTTGAGCTTCCCCGCATTGTGCTCCTTGAGCGCATACACCATCTGCAGCGGCGGGTAGTCGGCGCCGATCGTCGAGTTGTTGCTCATGATGACGCTCTGCTTGTTGTGCGGGTCCTTGGCGAGACGCACCGTGCGTTCGAAAAGGTGCATTTGCGTGGCGGCGCCGGACGAGAAGATCGTCATCGCGTCCTCGTTGAAGACGCCAATTTCGCGCAGAAACGACGTCGCGGACGGGTTGGCCTTGGTGCGGCCGTCCGAGACGATGCACACGACGATGTTTTGCCAGGCGTCGTCGCCTTCGTAGCCCGGCAGCGCGTTCTTCTGGATGTACTTGACGTTGTTGCACACTTTTCGGAGCGTCTGCGCGAGCTCGGCGCCGTCTTCGTTGTACATGGTGATGACGAGCATCATGGTCGGCTTCCGGCCGCGCGTGACGCACTGCATGCGGTAGCCGTCGAGGGTAAAGTTGATCGGGTTGACCGTGGCTACGGGTGTGTAGCTGAGCTCGGCTGCTTCTTCGTAGTGCTCGCCGCCCTCGTACTCTTTCGTGAACGGAATTTGGATCCCGCGGCAGTTGCGCGATGGCAATGGGCCGGCCCGGCCGTTCTCGAGCCAGATCGAAAGCTCTTCGGCCCACCCAATGACCTCTTGCGACTTGGCCAAGAGCATTTGGCTCACATCGTCGTCGTTTTGCTCGGCCACGATGAGCAAGCACTCGCCGGCGTTCACAAAGCAGTTGATGGCCTCGCTGTAGAACATGTCGTACTCGGCGCGGACGCCACGCTCAATGTAGCGGAAGGCGTCGACGGTCGTAACGCAGTCGTTGTCATTGCGGACGTGGCTACCCACGCGCGTCGAGCGCACGGACGGCCGGCGCGCGATCGCGGGCAGACCCGTGCTCAGTTGGCTGCTCACCATCGTCGTCCTAGCGTGGTCAGTTGGCGAATAAGCTGCGAAAGACGGTGTTGTTACTACACATGTGAGGGCCGGTGCTGGTGCCACCGCCTGTCGAGCTATAAAATAATACATACAAACATACAGTCAAGAACCACCGATGCAATTAAAATTTGGCGAGAAATTTTGAATTTCCCACCACATGGCGCGTCAATGTGTGTTTTTCGTTTTTCACAGCACGTTGCGTTAGCACTGCCACTGTCGGGAGGCAGCACTTCTCGTCACAAACAAGGTCGTGCCGCCACCTTGTTCATCCTCGTCGTACCGCGTACTGCAGTACGTCGTTGTCACCGTGTATACCAAATCGGGCTGTTTGATGACAGCGACTGGCGACAGGGCCAATTCGAAGAAGCCAGTGATCGAATATCAGCCGGTGGGATCTCTTTTGCACGCCCACATACACGCACGTGTGTTTCTTCGCTTCAAGGGATCGAAGGCGACCTGCGCCCCTCGGCCTACACACCTAGGTACCGGTACCGTTTGACGCCAAGCGTGCATGCTGCCCTTGACACTACAGCACGTGCTGTACCTGTATGGCCTCCGCTTATTGACCTAGTGTACGGACGCGGCTTTGAACTGTGAAAACACACACACCCATTTCCCACGTGTGAATCTCTTCGGGTGGTGTGTAACGCAGGGTGGAATGTATTTTTTCTCAGTCGCATGAATTTGCGCCGGTCGCGATACAATTTCCAAGCCTATTTGCGATCCTTTAAAAAAGTGCAAGCGCCCCGTGCGATCGTGACCGGATACCCATCGTATCCGGATCAATCGTTCTGGCCGGATACACTCGCACATTATCCGGACGCTCGTGGATCTGCCATGGCGACCGTGACACTGCGCCTGGGGCAGGAGCAGCTCAAGCCCTTTGTGAGCGCGATCACATGCGTGAGCAAGGCCGGTAAGGAGATCAGCCTCGAGTGCGACGCCGAGACCATCACGCTCCGCGCGCTCAACGATGCGCACTCGGCGTCGGCCGAAATCACCTTTGACAGCGGCTTTCTCGACGGCTACACGCCGCCGTCGCTCGCCGGCGACGGCCGCCCGACCGCGCTCGTCAAGTGCACGACCATGGCGAGCACGTGGCAGTCAGTCTTCCGTTCGCTCAAGAATGTGCTCTCGATGGAGATTGAGCTTGAGGTCGACGACGGCGACAATGGCGGTGGCCACGACGCGGTCGACGCCTCTGTGATTGTGTTTCGCCTTTGCTGCGACAAGCGCATCACCAAGACGCACCGCATCAAGACTACTGACACGCAAACGCTGCGTCCCATCTTCGACAAGGCGTCGTCGCCGAGCCGGTACGTCGCAATGTAGTTGCAGTGCGAGCTGACGCGTCCGTAGCATCAAGATGCGCCCTTTCCACCTTACGACGCTCCTACAGCACATTCATGGCACGGACGAAGTGAGCATGACATGCGGGAAGGACCAAGTCCGGTTCGAGAGCTACTACACCAACCCGCTCGACGGTACGAAGACGACGTCGCTCCAACATCGTCCACGCAAAGTCTCGTGTGCTGTAGTCAAGAAGCACGTGCACACCGAGACGACGGTCGACACGGCCGAGTTTATCGCCTACCTCTTCGAGCCTGGCGAGGATCCGTTGAACGAAGCGGTTGTTCAGCTCATTTTTTGCCTCAAGGAAATTCGGGTACCGGCCGACGCGATAGAAGAAGCGGTCATCGTCTTGTAGGCGCTGCTCGCTTACTGCGACGCGTGCGGCCTCGCCGAGCTCGTTTTGTACTTTAGCGACGGCGGCAGGTACTACCATAGTCAACAGTATAATGTCTGGCATCTCACTACTAGTACGGCTGTAGTCCGATCTTGCTCTCGACCGAGTCGGTGGCGACTGCGTCGTACGGTGCTCAAATCGTCTTGTCGACGGTCGCGACACTTCACGCCGGGCCGACCCAAGACGCCGGCCCGTACGCGCGTCCATTGACTAGCATGTTGCGTTGCTTATGCCCACTAGGTCGCAAGAAGCCGAGTACGAGCACGCTGCCAGGGCAAAAAAGCAGAAGCGGTCGTCGGCCTAAGAAGCATAAGATTTCAAATTCGACTTGTGTTGGCGAATGGGCCACGTCCATCGGTGACGCGACCTTTGCTGTAAAGATACCGAGATTCGCCATGCCAAGCGCCGCGCTGCTGCTGGAAGAAGCCTTTGGCAAGCACATGCTGACGGGCGCCGCCGAGTGGCGCGAGGTCCCGGACGTTGTTCGCTCGTCCTTGTATGTGCTCCAAAAAGTTCTTTTGCATCTCGATGCGCGGCTGTCGCGCTGCGAGACGGACAAACCGTCGTCGTCGGCTCTTCTCGCAACGCTGCAGAAGTCATTGCGCGGCGTCGAAGCCGACTGCCAGGGCCTCGTGACAAGCACGGTCACCGCGGCGACGGCACCGCTGGAGGCAAGCGTCGCCCGGCTCAAGAAAGCTGTCGCCCATCGGCTTCAGACACAGCAAGGTCAACGTCACGATGACATGTCGTCGTCCGCGACCTCACATTGCACTTGCGAATAGAAGCGACGCAGGCACTGACGACCCAAATCCAAGAGCTACAGGCGCACGCACGTACCGCACTTGCACGGGGGCTTGCGTGTGACAGCGTCTTGTAGGCGAGGCCGATGATGCGTACAAGCACAAGCTCAACGAGCTCGGGCGACGCGCCGCGACGCACGCCGGCAGCCTCGCCCACTACGACTTGCTCGAGGTAGTCTATCAACGACATGGGGGTATGCTGCTGCTAATGATGGAGCGCTAGAAGCTCGAGATGCGCTGCAAGACGCTGGAGCGACAGTTCGCGTTGCATGCATCACAAGCGAGGCCCGTTGAGCCGCGGACAAGCGACGTTCAGGCGACGCCGACAAACGATACTCCCTTGGACGAGCCCGTGGCCGACCTTGCGCTAGAAGCAGCGAACGACGACCAAGCTTGCGATGTCGTCTTGGCGCCACCAGTGCGCTTGCTGACGCTACGGGAAAAGCGAGAAGCATCACGCCTCCGATTCGAAGAAGCGGCGCGCCGACAGAAAGCACGCTGGGCAACCCAACGCGACAAGACAAGTAGACGCTTAGTCATTTGAGCTACGAATACATTGTCGAGCGAAGGTAGAGACAGTCGGCTAATGGAATGCTCGGATCTTTCTGCTGCAGCGACACGAGCATGGCGTGGGCGGCCGCCACGGCCGACACAAAAGCGGACGCGTCGTCCTTCGAGGCCTCGTAGATGCGCAGTCGCGCGCCTTGCCAAAGAAGCGACGTCGCAGTCTGCGTAAGGGCCGTCGCGGTGCCAATGAGCCCGAGAACCCACGTCATCAAGGTCGCAGGGTCGTCGACGCCAAAGGTTCGCTCTGGAGCATTCTGGAATGCGAGCGTAAACGTGAGATCGTGGCTGTCTACGCTCCTTGGTACGCATGCTGCATGCCTCCATCACGGCGAGAGTGCGTACATGGATCGGTGCCGACGGTGATGTGCACGAGAGCTCGCGTCAGAAGCGCGTCGTCGCCCATGTGAAGGACGGCGCCGTCGGTCGAGAGGCGCAGAAGCTCGGTTGCTTGGGCAGAGGACGAATCGGTGCGCAGCGCAGCGCCTTGCTTGCACGCGACAAGACTTGTGAGGTAGAACCGCTAGCCCAGCGTGAGGGGTCGCCAGCCAACATGGTCTACTTGGAAGGCGGCGACGCGCATGGGCAGATCCTTGGCTTCGCCAACAAGCATCTAATTAAAGCGCTGTGGACTTGCCTGTCAAGCGCTGGCGGTACATGGAAGTAGGCGCTGGCGCGGCGCGGGTGCAGCGGGATGGCCATCGCACCGCTTCGTTGCAGATCTCGGCCTGTCCTTGCCAAGCAGGCTGAAAATCGGATACACACTATTTAAAATAAGTATTTTGGAGATGTTTCTACACACTATTTCTTGGCATTGTCCTAAAGATAGGATGCATGCCTAGTCTCAGGGCACCATGTGGATGTTCGAGCTCAGTGTTTATCCGGAGCTGCAATTGGGGCGAGTATGGACTCGGACAGCAGTGGCGCCGAGAGCAGCAGCAGCTCCGACACGCTCCTCGTGAAGAAGCAGCGGCTTCAGCAAGGGGGGTCCCTCGTCAAGAAGGTGCTTACCATGTCTACCTCAGTCTCGCTGGACGCCTGCGAGGCCTGCGAGTCGGCGATTCGAGGCGACCAATCGTCCGTTGCCTGCGCCGGCCCGTGCTGCCGCAAGTTCCACAGCGACTGCCTGCCCAGCGACGCGAGCGTAAGCAGACCCTGGACGTGCGTCGACTGTCGGTCTCACAGCCACCGATGCTTTGCGTGCCAGCCCTTACTGGGCCCTGCGCCCATGAAACTGGTGCCTGCCACGGACACGACGCCCGTCGCCTGCCGCGCCGCGGGCTGCGGCAAGTTCTACCACATCACATGCGTCAAGAAGCTCTCGCTTACACGTGTGCTGGACGACAATGGGTTCATCTGCCCGCTGCACACGTGCGCCAAGTGCGAAGGCAGCCACGCCGCGTCCACGCATGCGATCCAGTGCATGCGCTGCCCCAAGGCGTACCACACCTCGTGCGTGCCCTCGACAGGTAGGACCCTCCTCGCATCGATCAGTCGTTCCACCAAGCGCATGGACATAGGCGTGCAGCGACTGCATGGCACGGCCCGCGTCGTCTGCGTAACGCATCTCAAAGCGACGACGATAAGCGACGAGCCGCGCCGTCCTCGCATGTCGATCTCGTCTGTCGACTCGGCCAACGACGGCGTCTCGGACGCGAGCGAAGCCGAGTGGCCCAAGTCCCGCGATGACAAGAAGGCCAAGAAGACCGACAAGAAGAAGAAGAAGAAGAAGAAGCTCAAGAAAGAAAAGAAGCGCGCGCGGTCGAGCGACGAAGCCGACGTGCCGCCGCCGCCAAGTGCCCAGCCGCCGCCACCGCCGCCGCCGACCGAGGTTCCGACCAAAGCGCCAGCCAAAGTCCAGCTCAACATTACGATCCCCGAGACGCCACTGCTGCTGTCGACCGAGGACAACAGCGTCGGTCCAAAGGAGACTGTGACGGGCCGTGACAAGTCGAGAAAGAAGAAGAAGAAGCGACCGAGTAGCACCCGCCAGAGTGCGCTTGACGAGTCGATCGACGAGATGGACGAGCCGGAAGAGGCCAAGTGGGTCCAGTGCGACTCGTGCCGCAAGTGGCGTACGGTGCCGCAGCACCTCGACTTGGACGCGATGCCCGAAAAATGGTACTGCAAGATGAACCACTGGGCCAAAGCCTATGCATCGTGCGACGTCCCGGAAGAGGTCATTGAGCCCAAGAAGAAGAAGCAAAAGCTCGACCATGTGGCGACACTGCCGGTCGCGACGAGCATGGCCATGCCCATGGTGGACAAGGACAAGGTAGACGATGATGGACGCTGCTAACATCTGATCTCTCTTTTGACTAGAAACCATCCAAGAAGGAGCAGCGCGCGTCGAGTAGTCAAGCCACAAGCATGAGCAGTAGTGCGGCGACAGCGTCGTCGGTCGTACCGAGCAGTGCCAAGGCGCAAACCAAGGACGTCAAGTGGGTTCAGTGCGACAACGTCAACTGCGGCAAGTGGCGCGTCGTGGCCCAAGCCATCGACGAAGCGTCGTTACCAAGCAAATGGTTTTGCCACCTCAATACGTGGGCCCCCGACCTTGCGAACTGCCACGCTGAGAACCCTCCCGAAGTCGACTCGGTGCTGATGAACAAGAAGGCGCCTAAGCCCAAGCGCTCGACCAAAGAGTCGGCGCGGAGCCCTCGCAGCACAATTGTCCTTGCCACGGAATTGGTGGAAGCGGCGCTACCGACGGAGGAGGCGCCGGCCGCAGCCGCCCCACCGCCCGCCCCCGTCGCTATCGCCTCGACCAAGACAAGCATCAGCGAGAAGAAGCAAAAGGTATCTCAAAAATCGAATCTCAACGCTCACTTTCTTGGCGCTTGATAGGTCAAGAAAGCCGTGCTCGAGTGGGCGCAATGTGAAAAGTGCAACAAGTGGCGCAAACTGCCGCACCACGTCAAATCGTCAACGCTGCCCGACAAGTGGTATTGCTCGATGAACCACTGGAACATTGCGTACGCTTTGCATTGCATTTTTGGGGAGAATATGACAATACATCGATGACTAGACTTGCGAGCTGCAGCGTGCCCGAAGAAGCCGACAACGACCCGTTCATGGACCACGTTGTGGACCCGCGCCAAGGCTGGTACGGCGCAGTCAGTGGTCGCACCAAGCGCGGCAAGCTCAGCTACCGCGAACTCCTCTACGGCGGCAACGGCCATTTGCGAAAAAGTAGCTGGTTCCCGATTCTCACATAGCACTCATGGCCCATGATAGCGTACACGGAAGAGTCGTCGACGCTCTCGTTTGAATACGAAGGCAAGACCTTCTACCGCGACGACCAGTACCGCAAGAGCTCCATGTACCAGCCGCGCGAGCCGCCCGAGTTTCCATCCGACGCCAAGCTGGCCGTGGTCTCGCCGCCCGCGCCCGCGCTCACATTTGACGAGATGGCAACGTGTCAGCAAGAAATCTTCCGCGTTCTCCACGACGTTCACGCGTCCTACTCGACCCTCGACATTGTGCTCGCGCTCAACAGCGACGGCGCGGCCACCATATACTCGTACCCGCTGGTGCAGAGCTGCCTCCAGACCATGCTCACCTCTGGTGTCATTGAGAGTGCGACCGAAGACGCGATTGTCAAGGTGACGATGCCGCTGCAGATCAGCACGTATGCGCGTGCGTACTATGTCACTGGCGAAAACAACCACGACGTGCGCAGCTGGGACGAGCGGAGGCCGCACGCGCACGTCAAGTACCGTCGCAAACTCGTGTCGCGGCCACCGCTCAAGCTCGCCAAGCCGTGGAAACAGCAGGGGTTTACGGGCTTTCCCACCCCATCGAGTTAGTAGTATATGCACCGTTTCAGCTATGTGTGTCGCTACCACGCATGCAGCGCCTTGAGAATGTCCTACGAACGCCATGTTGGAGATCCGGGACGCTCTGCATTGGAGACCCTACCCCGCGTCGTTTGGTCATGCGCGCGTCGCGCTCGACAGTCATTTGCACTTGGCGGCGCAGTACCGACTGCAGGACGGTCTCGACACTGCGTTTGGGGACATGCATCGGCAACTCCAAACTCAGGTTGACGAGGACGTCGACGGCTCGCGACGCCGGCGCACTGGCCTCGTCCGTCGTTGTCGCCGGTTCGCGGTTGGACGCGAGTGCCGATTTCGCCGGTGCCCGCCGCCGCTGCGTGATCACAGACGGTCGCTTGAGCTTGCCGTCGACCGACGACGGCGTTATGCCCCGGCGATGGAGAAAGGCCGTGTAGTACTCGGACGCCTACGACAACCCGTCAGCGGCTTGGCTTCCGCAGCGACCTTGTCTCGACCGTATGGCGTCCGACGAGCGGGCAGTACACTTCGAGAAGCCCGGGCGTCGTAAAGAGGCCGAGCACGGCGCGGTTGTCCGAGACACTTTTCGCAGGCACCCAAATATGGTCGCTGACGATGCACCACGGAGCAGCATTTTGCTCGAGGGCGTCACCGAGGCCGAGGCTGCCGATGAGCACACCGGACCGCATGTCGTAGACAGTGATGGCACCGTCTTCGGCGGTCGCAAAGAGCTAAGGACATCGAATGGTTCCTTCTGGCAAAGACGAGGACGTACGATCGGAAGGTCCTGGAGGCCGTGGATCGTAGTGAACGGGTGCGTCCCATCGAGGACGCGGAGGAGCGAGGCGGGTTTGGTTTTGCCGTCGCCTCTACTCGGTACCGAGCACACGTCGTGTTGAAGCCCGAGCACATAGGCCTGACGCGATCTGTCTTGATACATTCTTGATACAAACGGACGCTACCGAGGGCGGCGGCAGCATGTCGGCGCGGGCCATGAGGTCGTAAAAATGGAGCTCGTTGGCTGTCGAGAGACTCGCGACGAACTCTGTCTTGTGCACAAAGAGGGCCGTGACGGGCGCGCTATGGCAGCCGAGCGCTACACAAAGGTGTTATCGCTGGCCAAAGAGCGTAGCAAGTTGCACACCACAGTACTCGACTCGGAGGTGGAGGTGCCAGACAAGCAAGGACCCGTTGGCCAAGCCAAGGACGAGTAGCGTATGGCTCGGGCCCGCCACGGCGCACGTGATGGGCGCTGCCACCACCACATGGGTACTCGGCGCGGCGTCCTTCCCGGCGAGTACATCAAAAACGAGGCACTTGTGCTGGCTTGCGACGCCGAGCTGCCACGTGCCCATGTCGCCAAGAAGAAACGCCACGTACAAATACGGCGCGTACGGCTCGGTCGGCACGACTACTACGTCGACTTCGACTTCCTTGCCTTTGCCCTTGTGTGCCTAGTCGTCGTTGGTGGTAAGATGGTGTGCATGTGAATCTGCACCTTGTCGTGCTTGGTGGTCGCGGCCGGCTCGGTGATTACGGGTTTGAGGACGGGAGCGATGTTGTAGACGCTAGGGTCGACCTCGAGAAGACAGTCTTTTGTATGGTCGAGCGCGATCGGCGGCGTCGGTGGCAGCGTCGACGGAAGGCTGCTCATCGCATAGACAAAGACTGCTCCATGGACCAAGACGACGGCGGCAAAGGCAAAGTCATCCGAAAAGTGCACTCGCGCGATCACGTCCGACGTTAAGAGCTTGGAGCGCAGCACAAGCGCGCCGTTGCAGACGCAGTAGATGTACAGAAGGCTCTCAACGTTGTCGAAGACGGGGTCGACTACCTCGGGCTCACTTGTCGTCGTCGTCGTTGTGGCAGCGCGCCGGCGTCCCCAGACGGCGAAAAATGACTGCCGTGTCGCCCCTACATGCCACGATGGGCGTCATGCCAGTGACTCGTGGGCAGCTACCGAGCTGGAACGGACGGAGCGGTGACGAGATGCCGTCGATCGCAAAGAGATCGGGTGCGACCTTGGTCTTTGGCACGAGGACCGACCCGGTGCCGGCCTCGAGCACTTCAACCACGTTGGCCTCGTGCAAAAGCGCAAGCAGCTCGTGATCCGCACTGCCGACAAACGTAATGGGGCTTGGGCCGAGCTCCATTGACGTCGCGGGGAGGCAGAGCCGGGCTTTGGCTTCTTTTTCCTGCAGATCCGCGTTCATCTCGCCTTGTTCGAGCTTGAATGCCATCGTCGACGTGATTGCTGCCCACGCGCCTACCATACCGTGTTCAAATATGTACAATATACATTCATCTACGGTCGACAATATCTTCTTCGAGGATCTTGAGTAACATGCGGAAGGGCTGCGGCAGGGTCGGAAACACCAGGTCCGGGTCCACGTGGTCGACCGGCGTCAGAACGTCGACAAACTGCGTAAACGCAGAGATCGAGATGAGTCCCGCGGGGGAGCAAAAGACGCCCAAGAGCTCTCGCTCGTCGTTTGTCAAGTGTACCTAGCATCATTCAACTATTGAGGCAACTAACTAATGGCCTGTTGTACGCTGTGAGCGGCGAGGAGCTGGAAAAATGGCGCTTGCGGAATCCAGTCCTTGTCCTTATGCAGCTCGGGGGCATCCTAAAACCATGATCCACCCTTCTTTGCCCATCGATTCGTACGAGAAAGACGGTGTCGAGCGGCACGTGCAAGCAGTCGGCGCTACCAGACGAGTCATGATCGCGTGCCAGTCATGACGCGTACCGGAGGCGAGCTTTGAGCTCCTTGCGCGCCTGGGCTTCGAGCGCGGCCTTGGCTCTACCGCTACCCCGTTAGCTCTCGTGGACGAGGCGCGACGACGCACGCCATCGCGAATGGTCGCGGCCTTTTGAAAATGGTACGTTGGCTGAAGTTATCGCGGTTTCACCAGGCCCAAGATGGACGCGGCCAACGACAGCACGTACAGCAAGGCGCTACGCCGTGGCCGCCACCCACGGTCCTTTAACCGCACCGACACGTGTCAAATGTGGTCGACTTTGTACGTCTCCTTAGCTTTGTGCTGTAATAACAAGCTCTGTAGAAAACACTCGAGCTCCCGCGTCTCGAGCGTCAAGACGGGCCAAGGCCTTGGCAACATCGTTGCCAAGGAGATCGAGGTACAGCCCAATGCCTTATGGTCGTTTACGGTGCCACTAGGCGCTGCAGAGCGAGAGCCCAACATCCGAGAAAGCGACGCGGATGACTCTAAAAGGTGCTCGACCGAACGATCCTCGGTGTGGACGTCATGTATCTGTATGCGTAGACGTCAAGTCGACGCCCAACCTCTTGAGCCCGAAAGAGAGGCGAAGCGAGAAGCGCCCAGCCAAGAAGAAGCACAGCACGCATGAAGACGTTATCAAGCGGCTGCAGGCGCTGGGGTCGGGGAGCGCGATGGCGGCCACCCCGAATACCACCACCAACAATACCAATACCAACAACAACAACGTGTCGGCAACCACGATGGCAGCCATGGACGTCGATGCAACCAAGTTGCGCCAAGACTTTAGCTCGCAGAAAGACGCCCGCGTCTACTACGGTTCGACGGCAGCTTTGGAGCTCTTCAACGGCGACATGCTCATGGTCCCGTCAAGTCAGATACCCCTGGAGGTTGGATAAGAATGCGTGATTTAGGTGTCGGTGGCCGATGGGTCCGTGTGCGTCCAGCCCCTCGAGCGCCTCAAGAACCAGCTCAAGGGCTGCCGGGACAAGCTCCTGTTTACGCTCATCAACATGAATGAGCTTCGCAGTGCCAACCCAATTCGGTTTGGCGACAGTGTCTGGCTGCAAATTAGCGTCGGGACGGGCGACACCTCGTGGGAGCAAGGCTTGTTCACATAGCAGTAAAATCAGTTCTTACTCGCGTGTAGGCGGCGTACTCGGCGCCAAGGTCCGCAAAGCGCCCGACCTCCAAACGCTTTCGCTCACACACGTTGAGAAAGACCCTATTGATGCGCCTCCAGAAGCCGCGCCCGACGAAGTGCTCCTCAATGTTGGGTATCCCGTGCCCGTCCGCGCCTACTTGCCCAAGGTATGTTGTGTATCAATCTATCAAGGTGTTGCGTACCGGTCTGTAGACGCGTGACGACTCTACCGACTCGCAGATCGACGATATGCAAGCTCGGCTACGCAATAAGACGTCGCGCATGGTCGGTCGCTGGATCGTGCGGTCCGCTGTCGTTCGACCCAAAGGCAAAGATGTACAATATTCAAATATTCAAATACGAAAGGCAAGTACGATGGACTGACGTAGGACTTTGTCAACAATGACGACGAAATCTACCTGGAACAAGACTGGTTCTACCTCGGCGCCGATTTGGAGGCGACCGAAAAGAGTCAGACGGCGGTCTTGCGCCAGCTACCGCCGACCAAAACCACCAAAGTCGGCGAATATGTTGTCGAGCGCCGTGCCGCGTGGAAAGTGCGGCTCGTCGACTCGTCCAAAGGCGGTCTCGGGCTCAGCCTCGTGCAGCAGCAGATGGAGCGGCTTCTTTTCAAAGCCAAGACGCAGCTCAAAGCGTCCGAGAAGATGCGCGACGGTGGGGTCGCCCACGTGCTCTCGTGCTCTATCGCTTGCTCTTTGTAGGCCAACTGCGACACTATGGCCCCGACTTGAACGGCGGCCAAGGCTTCTCCAAGCAGCTGCGGCGCCACATCCAAAACGTGACGGCCGAGTGCGACGACGAGTATTTTGCCCACCAAAACGACCGGGTATCCTACGTGCTATCCAATATACAATCCTACTCGACGCTTGTAGTTGCGCCAACTGGACGTGTACTTTGAAGACAAGATGGCAGCCATGGACAAGACGGACCGGAAGCGCGCGCCGCTCTCGCCGCTCGCATCGAGCCTCCGGTTTTCCGCGTCCGTACCCAACTTGAGCTCGTGCAAGGACTCGATTGGGCTTCACGCGCCGGCGACCGAGTCGACCGTGCCACCGTCGACCGAGGTATCATGCGCGAAAGTTTGATACATTGATGTTGAAACATTGATAGAAAATCTGCAACCTGTGCGTCGCGTACGCCCGCGTCGGGTTTGACTTGTGCACACACAACCACGAAGTCGCGCACTGCGTCGCGCTCGGGGCGCCATTGCCCTCCAAGTCGAGTGAGCCATCGTCGGGCGAGATGCTCAAAGCTCGTCTCTCGGAGCGGTAGGCGAAGCGTTGCCTATCGATTTCTCAATGTGGACATACATAGACACATGAGCACGTCGGATGGCGCCTTGCGCGCCGCCAAGGCCGCCGAGGCCGCGGAGTTGCGCGAACGCGGCCGTATCATGCGGTATCGCTTTCACGACGCGAGAGTTATCTAAAATGGACGATACATGTCCACATTAGGCTGCTCTCGGAGCAAGACGACCGTCTCGTCAACGTCATCAAGTACACGGAGCAGCGCGCGCACCTCGCAGCGATTGCAACACACTCGACCGACAACGACGACGACGCGCCGTCGTACTTTTCAACCAAGCGGTCGCGCGTCCGGCGACGTCTCACGTCTATGATCAGCGACACGGGCCCGCGACGCAAGTCGACGCTTAAGTCGACGGTGCTGGCCGAGACGGTCCGGTCCCACGACGATGACGACGACGATTCGACCGGCGGCGACGCCAACGACAACACCGACGACGACGACGACGACGATGACGACGGCGACGAGCTCTCAGACGACGACGACGAGAACCCGGACGACGACGACGATTTCATCACGGAAGCCGAGATCCAGACGCTCGACTATATCAACGTCGAGAAGGCCACGGCGCTGTACGCCAACGATGAAAAAGCGATGCTAGCGATGCTCCACGGGTTCGCCGACCTCGCCGAACACCGGCTCGTACCGCAGCTCCAAGACGCGCTCACCGCAAAACACAAGGCGTGCTTGCTCGAGACCTCGGACTTTTTGGCGCGGGTACGAATGGTAGTCACTATGTTGACGATCGTGGGTGTGTCGCTAGGCGTCCGAGTTTGTCATGGCGCGCCGAATACAAGTGCACGTCATGAGCTTGATCCAAAGGTCTCCCTGTCTATCTACCTTGTTTCAACGATGTGTAGCGTCGCGACGAGCAATGTCGACGACTTTTCCAGCATCGCGCCGGTCGTCGAACAACTCTTGCGCGAGGTCGATGGCACGATCCGCTTCATTCGCGCCCACAAGCCCCATGGCCGAAGCGGCGAAGTCATGTAGCGTCATCTTCCAAATGCATCAATGTGTCGAGTGCACGCATGTTGCTGGGATTACGATGACGTGCGATGGGGTCGTCGCTGGTGCGCCGACGAAGTCGCTGCGAATAATGATACTCCTCGCGTGTGTCCATCCTCCTTGGTTGTGCCCAAGTAGCGACCGTGCTGTTGGCGCGCAATCGGCTCGTCGTCGCCAGAGGAGCAAGTTCGATTCACATTTGGGCGGCTTGCCTGCTAGTTGCGACCTGAATTCGGATTTCCGCACCTGAATCGAGGTGCGGAAAGCCGGCTCTAGTGCAGAATGTTGGTCCAGATCAGAAGTGCGCATGATTGGTCATTTCCAAAAGGTACGAAGCATCAACATGGGCGTGCCGCTGCTGCAAGACGCGGCCCCGGCGCTTGCGGTCGCCGTTGTGTCGCTGGTCTTGTACGTCGGCTTCCGCGCACCGTCCGTGCGCGTCCTCTTCTTCAGCGCCATGGCCTACATCAAGGGCGTGCCCATTGTGTGGATCGACGCACCAGCGCTCGCGGCGAAAGCACTCAAAGCCTCGTCGTCCAAAGGCATCTTTCTCGAGCGCATCTTGTCCGAGCCCGCATGGCTGCCTGTGATCTCCCTCGAGTCGGTCGATGATCCGTTGTGGAGCAGCATGAAGAACAATCTGACGTTGCTCTTGAAGGCGCTGCCATCGGCTTCGGCACTCGAAAGCATCACAGCACGCATCACCGACACGTACCTCGCCGAGCACGAGATTCTGGACTCGAACAGCGTCGTGTACATAACGGTCGCTGCGTTCTACGAGTGGATCTTTGCCAAGGCGTTCCCAGACGACGCGAATTTTGTGTGCGACTCGACGTGGGAGTGGCGCAAGGAGCTAGCGCTCAAGGGCAAGGCCAATGTCGCGCTCAAGCAACGCGTTGTCGACTGGATCATTGGCGAAGTCAAGGCAACGCCGGCGATCTACAATCTATTTGGTGCCAAGTGGGAAGAGCCGGCGTACTTTTCGCTCTTGCTGCAACCCTTCTTCCTCTCGCCCGCAATCAACGTCTCGGACGTCGCCGTCACCATGGGCTCGCTCGTGCACTGTCACGGTCTCGTCGATGAGAGCATCTCGGATCTGATCAACAAGGCGCTCGACATGGCGCATCCGTTTGTGATTGTCGAGCGCTTCCTCGAGCACGGCCTTGCGGCGGACGACGTTACGATTGCACCGGGGACTCACGTCTTTATCCCGATGGACATTATGACAAGCGACAACACCATTCGGTTCGGCGCCGGTGCACGCAAGTGCCCGGGCCAACACCAAGGCATGGCGCTCATGCTTGGCCTCTTTCAGCGACATGTGCTCCTGAGCCCCAAGTTCCAGCCGGCACTCCACCACAAGTACTCGGGGCGCGACCAAGACGGTCAAGAAACACTGCCCGAGCTGCTGTATCAAGTCGCTTTGATCGTGTCTGTCTTTTGGACGGCGCTCAAGCACCGCTTTTTATAATTTTTCAAGGAACGAGAAGCACCGCATGGTGCCACGTTATCCGTATATGCGATCTGGCGACTGGTCACGTCACCTATACTGCCACACTTCTCAAAGCTGTTTGGCCTATCTTGCGCGTGGTTTGGCCGTACAAGAGTTCTAAAGATCTATCTGTGGTTTTGCGTGGACGAGACAAGAATCATCTGTCGGGCATGAGCGGGTTATCGAGACACGTGTTTGGCCAAGGGTCACTAAGAAATGCATTTTGTAGACCCTTGGTTGGCGAGCCGTGAAGAAGCTGTGGCCCACTTAACCCGTGCCTAACGCACACAGGGCTACGGCAGCTAGGAAAGAGTGTGCAGTGTACACCATAATGGACGGCTTTGCATTGCATGTCGCCCACGTAACTGGCCTGGACGTATCGCCCCACGACTACCGTTTGTCGTAAGCCAACCGGTCTACACCTCTCTCTCTGAACAGCAGATGGTCTCCCGAGTGCTGATACATCCACGAACAGCAGCACAAAGAATACAAATATATATGTACTCAAACAATTTACTCAAACCCAAGCCGCTGACGAACAGCGCGTAGCAAGACACGCCAGATGACAGCGCCTTGATAGAGCAGCTCGGGCAGCGTCTCGAGGCCGTCTTGGTCGCGGCCCGAGTACTTGTGATGCAGCGCCGGCTGGAACTTGGGACTCGTAATCACTTCGCGCTGGAAGAGGCCGAGCATGAGCGCCATGCCCTGGAACTGCCCCGGGCACTTGCGAATGCCAGCGCCAAAGCGCATCGCGCTGTCGCTCGTCATGTTGTCAATAGGTACAAAGACGTGCGTACCGGGGGCAATGACCACTGCGTCGTCCACGACCAGACCGTGTTCGAGGTAGCGTTCAATGATGATAAAGGGATGGGCCATGTCGATGGCCTTGTGGATGAGATCGGTCGGCGCTGTCTCTGCTTCGCCGCGGCGCACGAGCAATCCGACAGTGACCGCAATGTCCGAAATATTGATCGACGGCGAGAGAAAGAATGGCTGCAAAATGAGCGAAAAGTACTCGGGGTCGCGCCAGTTTTCGCCAAAGAGGTCGTAGATCAGTGGCGTCGCCTCAATGTGCGCGATCGTCCAGTCGACAAAGCGGTTCTTGAGCGCCATATCGCCTTTGCCCTTGAGCGCGATCTCCATCCTCCATGCGTTGGTCGCGTCGACGATCCAGTCGGCGTCGTCCTTGGGCAGCGGCCGCGCAAAAATCCACTCGAAAAGCGATGCAATCGAAATGTGCACCACCCCCCGCGCGCAGAGAACGTCGTGGGACGCGACGTAGTTGGTCGTGACGGTCGATGTGATCTGCTGCAGGTCCTGGGACGACGGCAGTTGCTTCATGAGAACGACGAGGTTGGCCTTCATGCGGCTCCAGCGCGGGTCGTCGATCGACTCGATCGAGATGGCAGGCAGCCACGCGGGCTCGGAGAATTCGTGCTCGATGAAGACGCCTTTGTTGGTCGACGCCTTGAAGACCTTAGCAGCGAGCGCGGGCGAGTCCACCCAGACAACCGGCACACCCTTGAGGAACGCGAGCGTGTTGAGGATCACCTTGCGGAGCGACGGCGCGCGAAAGCCGACGTAAAAGAGCGCCGACGCCACGACGACGCCGAGCGCGAGTCCGACTTGGTAGGCCATTGTGCAACGAGCTGGCAAGAATGCAAATGAACATGAAAGCAACGGCCGTGCCCTTTCGCTGCACGAGAAGGTGGCTGCCGTCCACCAGCCGCTCGAGTGAACGCCACCGGCTGGGCGCAAGCGAGAGCAGCATTCAACACCAAATGATCCGACACACGAGAGCGCAGGGATGAGTCGTGCGTTACGTCCAAGGCTGGACAGGTGCTACCCTTTCCCTCGGATGAACGACCGGCCCTTTACAGACGTTTCGACAGCCAGTTTGTCCATGTCTAGAACATAAACACGCAAAGACGACGCTCTCTTTCATAGCCGCGCTTTGGATCCACGGCTTCCTCGGCCTTTACCGCGGGCATGTGCAACACACTGAGGAAGGCTGCATAGACTTGGTCTACATTGGACTTCAAGTACATGCATGATCGTTTTGCTGCGATATTCGAATGGTGGGTGCATCGCGCTGCCAGTGCAGAGGAGCACTACAGCCACACCCGGTTCTGGCAATGTCGATAGCGCGTTTCCATTTCGCAAGCATGTCAAGACGACGGATTCTCATACAGCATCAACAAGATCTTTGTTTCAGAGTGCGCAACGTGTTTGAGCTATAGCATCGGCCAGATGTCCTGTAAGGATGAATGTCAGCGCAGAGAACGAAGTCACTTGGTGTACGAAGCGGCGTGGAGTCCCGTCGAATCGCAACGTGTAGAAACGCGGTTGGTTTAGCAACTTGCAGTTTTGCGGTGGAGTCACGCGTTCATCAGCAGATCGGATTCGATTCGGAGGGTTCCTTCTTCGCCGCTCGCAAATTTATTGATAATCTTTGGACGAGCTCAACATGTGATGCGCAAACATGTGATTTTGCGCAGCATTTAGCAGTCAACGTTTTTACCCTCCAAAGAGTCAACAAGTCGCTCGAAACATCGCACAAGTTTGGAAAAGCGCTGACAACCAGCGGAACGCAGCGAAAGCGGTCCGACCATCGCACCTTCGGAACCGTTGGTGTGAACTCATGACCAGATTGGCGGTCGCCAGGTCCAATGATGCGGCATCCGTTGCCGGCAAGTGTCGAGCGAGGTGCTAGGTTAGCGGTATTTGCTACTACAATAGTACGTGTGTGCATTTTGAAAAAAATAGGCGGTTGTGGCGTATCGTTCATCGCACCGTTGGGTGCGAGAAGGTCCATACCGCAGGCGGGCCTCAACGTACTAGTTAGTACTGGATAAGCTCTTGTTCTCATCGGTGGGTATGCTTCGTTTTGGCAGCTGAAAGGATTTGTGTTCCTCATCATCGCGAGCGACAAGCACACCGCAGTGCGGCGAACCGCCTCGGTTAAAAGAGCCAAGCGCTCATGCATCGAAGGTTCTGGTGTAGTGTAGTACAGTACTGCGAGGGCTCTATAACACAGTTGATGACGTTGACAAGGTGTGCAATCGCCAGGGTACCGGTACATGGATGTGGTGCGTCCCTTCGCAGGGCATCCTGGGTTGGCTTGAGCCAGGCAGTGAACCTCAGGTGCCTCGAGCTCGCCCATGTCCTCTCGTTTGTACGGTCACTGCTCGCTGCTCGCTCTGGCTGGTTAGGATACTAGTCCACCAAATAGAAATGATTTGCATACGTGCATGACAGAGTACTGCGTGAACGTCGCCAGCGCAGCACTTTGAGAAGCCTGACAACGGATTTACCGGAAATAGTATGCATATATGCTACATGAAATAATATTACCTAGTGTCATGAAATAGTGTATTTAAACACTAGTTTGGGGTTGAAGCCGCTGCAACGTTGAATGCGGGAGCGATATGAAATAGTGTATGGCTTCGAAATTATTTTTAAAATTATATACCCAAGCAGGTGCGTG